AGCTGGATAGTGCTGTCGGACAGCCACTTGCCGGCTATTCGCCCCTTTATCCCTTTTAGAAAGATCTCGCACTAATTCAAGACACCGCTCACGTTGCATTTGTAATGAATTAAACCTTTTCCTTAAGGTATATACGGACATACCTGTAACATACCCTTCCGTCTACATGGAGAAGTCCGACGCAGAAGTAACCGAATACTACCAACCGAAGGACTTACAAGTAGGCGAAACTATCTACATCTTAGGTCGCCGAATGCTTCTTGTGGACTGTGATCGATTCACTCGAGATTACTACCAAAAGGCGTTATGTATACAACAAAAACCTGCCATACCGTACAAACCGAAACCGAAAGAGCCTCCACCACGACCGGTTCCACCGCACGATGGCCTGGGAACTTTGGAGGATTCGATTCAAAATACTAAATACTTCCTACCACAACCGCCCAGAAAGGACGTTGTGCGTCAACTGCTCAATGCTAACAAGTATTTAAGATACATTATGAAAATAGATGTCGTACATCCTGAAGACGAAGTCAGACGGTTCATTTTGAGATACTCCCTATCCGAGGGAACTTGCTACATATACGAACCAGTGATTAGAAATTCGGGCATATGGGGTACGCCTAAATTCTATATGTTAGCCGTATTAGTAACATCAAATTGATTTTCCAGGGGGAAAATATTTGCGAGATTCTTTTCTTGTAAAACCGGGATCAGACCCGTTGAATCCAGTCTATTACACTCCAGTAGATTTCTATATCGGCGCGACGATTATCGTGCACCATCAGCGATTTATTATCATAGACGCAGATCTGTATGTTTACCGATACATGCAGGCTAATCCCGAAAAGTTCCCATGCGACGTGATCGACAACATTCGAAATCACATGTTCAAAAGTGGATTCCTTACTGAGGACATTAGGGATGAAGTGGAAAAGGAATCTCAGGCTCAGAAGAAAGCCGCGAGAGACGCCATTGGTAACTAACTAATTAATGAACACTAATCAGCTTATTTTTTTTGTAACTGTAGGTGAAAAAGTGGAATATCCCGAGCCTGAGATGGATAAATGTCTGATGAAATTAAGGGGTAGTAGTGCTGATACAGATCCGGAATATGCTACGTTAAAGAGAGCGCAATTATTGCAAGAATATGAAGATTCGCTTATCCATAAAAATGTGGTTCCCGAGCACGGTATCATGGATACCAATCTAACCTGCGCTTATCCAGTTGTAATTGGTGAAAAACCAGATATTGTTTGTAGGGGAACTGATGGTAAGCCCAGATTCCTTTTTTACAGTCGAAATTTGCATTTCACTCGGAAGTGAAGTGGAAGTGCTAATGCCAGCTTGTTTCAGTTGGTCCTGACGCATTTACACCAAAGCACATTGATACACCCGAAGAAATTCAACAGAAGCATTATGCAGATGTGCTGCGAAAAGAGCGCGATCTATGTAAATACGGTAAACCGATTGTCTGCCAAAGTCCGGAAGACATAAACAGGCCCCCCGCCGATAAAAAACCACTTGAGGAGTCTGTACCGATTATGGTTTCCCCCGTAGATCGTCCTAAAGACGCTTGCAAAGTTAAAAGTGTGCACTTTGAGGACGACGATAAAAGATGTCAAACGTATCAAGATGATCTTTGTGATTTGAAACGTGAGAGAATTTTTTCCGAATGTACGCCTTATAAAAAATGTTAACATTTTTTATTGTACCTACCAAATATATCTATACCCGAGTCTATACCTTTTTTTGAATGCCGACTGATAAGTCTGATCCTGAACCGATATGGCGCTCATTTGAAAGAGCTTGGAGCAAGGATCCCGTGCATACCTTTTGTTTTGCTCGATTGTTTAATTTATGTCCCTGGGATTCTTCTCAAAATCTGTATTTTGGCAGGCGAAAATGCGCAATTCTTATTTATGAAATTACTTCAATTAAATTCTATATGCTGGCAAAAAAGTAAATCTAATAATTTCAAAATAGGTTTTGCGCATGCGCAATGCTAACTTTTTTATTTATGAAGTTATTTAACAATGAAATTTTATATGTAAACACTACGAATATCTGGAAAAACAAGTAAAACTAACAATGTTTTCAAAATATTGTTTTGTGCATGAGCAATACCAACTTTCTTATTTACGAAAGCTTTACATATAGACATGCTTCGGGTTCGAGTTGTCCCAATTTTTCTGGTTCTTCCATTTTTTTTAATTCTTCCATTTCTTCTCTAAACTGCAGCTTTCTGAGATGCTTCAGACTCTTTGACATTCTTTTTTGATGTCCTCGATTTGGGGGTTGTGTATTTAAGGGTCCGAGAGAGTGCAGCATGTAAGTATGGGACTATTTTTAGATCGGCGGCGTCAGCACGTATCGGTTGAAACCCATATGAAATATAGATTCCGCTTCTGCACTGCTTATGTTGGTTCCGGTACCGGTTTCTGTTATGTGGTTTCAGTAATTTTTGGTTCCGGCTCCAGTTTTTCACGTTTTTAGGTTCCAACATAAATAAACTTAGAAAATATATACATTCATAAAGAATATGCTCGCCGCGTGCATTTCGGCGGGTGGGTTTAATTTTTGCGTTTCTGTACAATAGCGTACGACTATCCACGAATTGGTTGGCTACAGAGACACTTTCTACTGCTTTCAAAAAATTGGTGTTGAGGTTATGTTGAATAATTCAGTTTAACCGTTTGTGCAAATTATTTTTTATAACAAATTATGTCATTCAACGTTAATTACGATTCGTATTCAATTGCAAAAGTGACCCCGTTACCTGCCTTACCACCGCCGACGATCATAGATGATACTGAGAATGAAAACAAACCATTTTTCTGTAAGGACGATTTTCAGGGAAGCTCTGCACTTATATCGCTTGATTACAGGCGAGAAAACGATAGGGGGCATATTGGAGGGTTCAAAATACGTTTGGAAAGCGAATGGATCGCAATTCCGTTTGTTCGATTCGGGAGGCGGAATTAAAATTGCCTCTTGGAATTTCGCCGTGGCAAATCTAACACAAGAGTCTAGGGTGACGTGCGTTGCCGAATTTAAAAGGTGCAAGAATAAGCTTCCCTTTTTAATAATTGGGTTGGAGAATGGCTGCCGTGGACAGATTTGTATCTTTGATTTGGTAGGATCGAGAGTTTTAAAAACCATCGATTTAGATTACATGGTGAGCACTTGTGAATTATAATATTTTGCGTCTGTGTCTGATTAAGTAAACCTTGCATAATTTACGGTAGTAACACTTACATTTATTATAGGTTACTTGTATATGTGTTATCGACAGAAGTGGTCATATTTCTTTATTAACAGAAGCTCTAGATGCTTTCGATGGGATAGTCGCAGTAGGGACTGTGAAAGGAAATGTGTATCTACTTGACTTATGCCAAAGTGAATATGAAGAAGGTAACATTATCGAATTGGAATGCTCGCAACTGGTTATAAATGTGTTTGTAGCATTGCAGAATGTGGCATACGTTACGGACGAGGTTAATATTAGTGAGGTCGAAATTTTGTACCCCCTTGAAATACATTCAGTGGACGTGGACAGTTATCGATGCTCTACCAACAATAGACATTTATTGCTTCATTTAAATGGTACGCACGTTGATTTACCAGCCCAAATTTGTACCTGAGTTGATTTTAGCTGTTACGGACAATGTGGAGCATTTTGTTTTGAAAGGACCCAAAGGTGTCAATCGCCTTTTTGCTGCAAAGGAAGAGGTGCAAGTGAGTGCACTCCATTACTGCTCGCAGCTGGGATCTTTGCTTGTCGGATATAATTTTGGTGCGTGGCAGTTGTGGGATTTTGCCAATTTAGAACTTGTATACACTTCATCCGTTCATGAAGAGAATATTCCTGTATCTCATTTTGCAGTCCAGGTAGTCACTCCCCGTGTAGGTGCATTTAAATCGTTCATTCTCCACAGGAGCCTTGCGATGATCCACGAGCTTTTTGCTATATGTGGGCTGTATACAGTCACACAGAACCGTATCAACATGCAACACCAGTTGCTGTTTTGTACGCATTAAATTATGAAAGTAAGTCGGTTCATTCCAAGTATGGAGTCCTGTATAAGGTAAGCAAGATTGTACTCTTATCAGTTTTAAATCAAATTTAATTCCATAGAATCTACAATCCTGTACAGTTCGGTTTCAAATTACTCCCACAACTGATAACGAGAATGGAATGAATCCCACTCAAATTGCTGCCAACTGTATTCGTTTGCAGGTGGTTAATAAAACCGTATCAAAACACTCTCTAAATGGACAGGATGAGATTATTACAGTGTGCTTTATCATTTGGAACATATCTGGTGGACGAAAACCGGAAGAATGTAAAACGTACTTGAATTTATTTGATTTGAATCAATGGTACAAGGAACATATGCCAAGTAAGTTATACTGCATTCATTATAAGAAGGTAGTAGATGGCGCTGTGTTTGAAGATAAATACACACAGGAAAAATATAAAACGGCACCAATTTATTGTAAAGTTCAGCACTGCGAACAGAAATAAACCTTTGACAATAACAGCTAATGACACTTCGGCAGTTTAGTTGGCAACATAAACTACCACCTTACAAAATTCACCAGTCATTTTATGTTTCATTGTAATACTGACTCATGTTTTAACCAATCACAGTGAAGGTCAAAGCTTCCCTATGCTTTCTACCGCCACCTTAAGGTGGTGTTTACATTGAAGAATTTGGAAATCACTCCCCGCACCGCCCGCAATATTAGAATAGTGTCGCTATCCACCACAAGATTCCGCTACCTACCTATTCGAACGTAAAAATAAACAGATAAGGCGCAACTGTCGAGATAATAATATACCGAGGACGATCGCTGTAATTTGATATCTGTAATTTATAGAACTGGGTTTTTAGCATTTGTATTCAATTCATATTCCGCTTTCTCGGTTGCTGACGTTTACCGCGATTAATTTCGTTGTAATTAATTGTATTACCAAGTGCTTTATCTTCCCAAATAAGTAAAAATACCTATTTTCTCTCAAAATAATAAATTGACCTTGTACGAAATTGAATAGGGAATGTCAAAAATTATCGCAATTTTCTTTGCACCCTCGTTTAGGCATGCGCCGTCTTCGGTTAGGAATTTTCGAAAAATTGGAAAGAATAGTTGTGTCTGCTACATCCTATATGAGTAACTAGGATGTAGCACCGAATTCTACTATATGCACTTAGATCTCAAAAATTTGAAAATGGTATAAGTTCTTAGCGCACCTTAGCAAAAATTTGTAAATAAAGCTGTAAATAGTTTGGTAAAAACATTTCGTTCAACAGTGCATTTATTTTAATAATTCCGGGCTGCGGCGTATTCCATTTCATGCTCGTGAGCAAATTTTTGTACTACCTACTAAAGTACTAACCATTTCATTTTTAAACCTTTATAATTAAATAAATGAATTAGATTATAGACCTATAATTATAATTCATTGCAACCTCATGAAGGATATCTACGAATCGAAGAACTAGCGAAAATTTTGCAGGATTACATCAGCCTCTGTATTATCTAAATCCAATATTCTATTTCTAAATTGACTATCATGTCATTATACTCGTAAAACAGTTATTAACGAACTCCTAGCGAGTTTAAAATTTTGCGGTGTCTGTCCGTCTGTCCGTCCGTCCGTTAGCACGATAAGTCATAAACGAATGGACCGATTACGATGAAATTTTGCAGGTGGATTCTTTATCAAATTTGTAGATCGGAGTTCGTGAATTGGTATGTAGACCAAAAAATAAAGTAGGCCCTTTTGACACCTCCGTTAGTTATGAACCGAATTGCATGAAATTCAATATGCGCATAGCTTTAACCATATAAAACACAATTTCAAAAATTGAGCCTAATCGATCAGCATGCACAGTGCCCTTTGCGCAGGGGCGGACTGGGTACTTACGGACCAGGTGTAATTGCATAGGTTACCGGCCAATTTTTTTGCTTCATTTTAAAGTATTCGTTTCTCGAAAATCAATTAGAATATAGTTTTTTTTAATTGCAGAAGAGAAACGTGTTAATAATTTATTAATGGTGCAAGAAACTAAATACAGCACATACTTATAAATAGTGCTAGAATGTTAATGACGTTAAAAATCAGCGAAAATGCAAAATAAAAAATGCAATTACGACAAAAATTTCGCAAAAAAGACAAAAATTTAAAAAGATGAGATTTTAAATAACAAATAAATTTATTGATGAAACTGAATAAGACGCAAAATTTCAGTGGTGGTTCATTTCCACTCTCTGCAAGCCAGTCGTAGAAACTAGGTATGTAAGGTACTGACTCATTTAGCGCATCCCAAAGAAATTTAATCCCTTTTAGTGGGCATTTGTTTGTGGACGACTTAAGCACGTTCCAAGAAAACGTTAACTAGGCATTTAGCTTACAATGGCGGTTCAGTGGTAGAGAGTTGGGCTATAAATCCGGAGGTCGGGTGTTCCAACCTGGGTTGAGGTGAATTTTTCATCTGTGGCAGAGATGAGAATTAGACCTTCTGCAGAGACACCTCTAAAAAGCATTATGCGGGTCACTCTGTAATTGGGCGGAAACCTGTTGAGGGCCCAGAACAAGAGAGAGATAATAAATAAATAAAATAATAAAACGTCTGGCATAAGAACCCATTGACGATAATGCTCTGTTGTAATGTAGGTAATATGAACTTGAGAGAGATATATTCTGTTTGGTCTATTTTTTATTTCATATCATGAAA